TCAATAAAAATAACTTCTGAAATATAGTTTATATAAGTAAAATATATAATATAATAAAATAAATAATTATGTCAAATATAATAAGATATAATAAATGTAATACATTTATTAATACATTTAATAAATGTAATATTTTGGTGATAAACGATAAATTAAAAATTATATGAAATATTATTACTATTATATAAATATAAATGACAAAAATTCTAAATGTAAAATTACTATTATTGACATTATTAAATTAATTCTAAATTAAAAAATATTAAGAACATATAAGGTAAAATATATCTAAAATAAATCTAAAATATACTTTATATATAAAAAGTAAAATATAATAATATTTAATAAATGTAATATTTTAATAATTACATTAAAATATAATACATTATTATTACTAATTATATAATAAATGTAATATTGTAGTATTTTTTAAATGATGTATTATTAGTAATAATAATTTATTACTATTATATAAATGATTAAATAAAAAAAGTAAAATGCATAAACATATAAATTAAAAATATATATTATATATAGTTTTTATGTCAACATTAATCATTGTAATAATGGACACTTAATTAATAATGAATGATAATACCTTTCGAAAAGACCAGCAGCTGACACCATTCGGCTTCTTAACTAGTTTTACCAGCTCCATCAGAAAGAACCGATTATGAAAACCACCTCAAAAAATAAAAATGAACAAATATAAGACTTGAACAAATATAATGCACAGTAGATTTTCAGTATAAAATACTGATTCAACATCAAGCTCATGGGGTTTATTTCAGCGAAACGCATACATGTGCACCTAAACGCTACATGAATCACTGTAGATAAAAGCGTGCGCCAAATGAATAAATGTATAAAGGATAATTATCCTGAATGAGCCCAGAATGACTGATAATGAGCTGCGGATAAATGACAGAACTAGTGAACCCACCTGTTACAGATTTACCAGCATAACCATCTGTTCTATCAGGAGATATAAATATGAAGAACAGAGACAGATCTGTCATCATCTACTCACCATCATCAAAGTGAATAACTGCACCATTAAACTTATCCATATAACTAAAAGTCATTTCATTTTTGATTTATAACTTCAAAAGTGTGCCTATATGCTTTGATATCTAATGCAAAGATATTTAGACATTTGTAAATTTGACTCACGCACAAGAACTAATTATATCAGTTAAAAAAAACCTGCCTCTGGTTCTCAATTTAAGATATTAAAATAATAATAAAATAAGAATAACAATTTTTAGTAAATAAATATTTGTATTTATTCAAATATCATTATTTATTTTAAAATGTTATAATATTTCAAATGTATAAAATGTTGAATTTGTCCTTGTACTAAACGTTCTGTTCAACCTCTTTATGCCGTGACATTTTCTCCTTTAAAGGTTTGTATAAAAAACTCGATTTTTAGTGCTTTTTATTGTCAATTTTTTACTTAAATGCTTTATATATTTTTATGTAGATTATGTAGATAAAGCTTTGATAATAACTTTTTAAATTTACTTAATATTAAAATTGCTCCGTTTCCTGATTATATATAGTATATTTCTGAATACTACCTTTACTAACGCTAAAAGTAGGCCTCAGGGGGGAGGAAAGTATGAATACGACTCGGTTAAAACTGAATGAATTCAGCAATAATAATAAACAATAACCCCCACAACAGCATTAAGCTAGAAACATCTCATAAACACATTTCTGTATAGAATTCATCAGTATTTCACTGCAAATCGATTCTCGGTCTCAAATTCAACATTTTCAGTGATTTAGAACAGAAGCATCATTCAGTGTGAATCAGTGATTCGTTTGATTCGTCCCATGTTCTTAATGCAGCAGCAGTTTTCTCTTTTCTCTTTTCCTCCTGAGTGCCTTCCAGTTTTTATCTAATCACAATATATTCACTGCATCTCTCTCTCTCTCTCTCTCTCTCATGCAAAGAGCTCAATGGCAATTTTTCCATCTAACTGATGAACACAGCCAATCTCTGTTGCCATGGCGACGGTTGCCGGGTAAAGGTGTGTTTACGGGAAGAGTATGCTGGGTGCTTTTGAGTGAAGCTTGATTAGTTGCTCTGATAACACAGAGTTATTTTCCATCAATATTGTCCCAGAACATCCACATATGACCAGCACTCTTCATTTCACTCACTTAACAGCTCTCAAACAGAATTATTTTCTGTTGAAAATGTTTATTCTCTGGAAAAAAGGTCTTATTTTTAAAAGTTACCAACGGGCACCGAGTCAGATCTGATTGAACCTGCATGAAGTCAATATGGAGAATAAATAAATGTTTCATATTTATGTCCTTTAATGCATTACTGAACACGGAACACAGAAGTGAAAAAATTAAAATAAAAATCCAACCCAAAAAGAAAAACCCAATTCTGCCTAAAAATAGCTAAAATTATTATTTTTTAGTTTATAATAATAATAATAATAATAATAATAATGATAATTTTTATTACTTTATTGAAATTAAAATATCCTTCTTGCGTTGTCATATGCAGGTTTTTTTTCCCTAAAACATTGAATTTGCCTTTGTCCTCTGCTTTCTGTTCAACCCCGTTATGCCCTTTAAAAATACAGGTTATTTAAAAAATGATCATACCATCTATGACTGTAAAAGCAATAACCTTGTCAAATTAAATAATAATAATAATAATAATAATAATAAAGGCTCTGTTTCCTGAGTTACACTCTCTGATTATCCCAGAATCTCATTTTTGTTTTATATTTTTTTCTAAAATGTTTGATGTATTTTCTGGGAAAATTGTTTTTGAATTCTCCCTTTAAAAATAACGGTTTGACCTTTCAGCCAGTAACTTTCTCAAATTAAATTAAAAATAGCTTTGTTTCCAGATTCTACTCTTACGTTTGTCTGCTGGAGAAGCAGGAGAAGAGTGAAGCTTTGTCTCGCAGCGAGAAAACAACAACAACATCGTCGTGACAGACACAAACAATGTCTATTTTATTTCTCCTAAACACCAATCTAAGACACAGTTTTGCACATGACTCATGATTGTTCTCCAGTGTTTGTGCAGTGAACATGTTCCCTCAGAAGCCGGCTGATGGACTGTTTGTGTGTGTTTTATTGGGCTTATCATCCGTGTTTTGGATGATATATGAGACATAAATGACCCCATAAAACTCCAAGTCAACAGTTATATTTATTGCAATTTTATATACAAACAACACTAAAAGGCACTCTTTTGTTTAAATAAGGATATAATATGATTTTCCATCCGATAGCTAACATAGTTTGAATATAGTTTAGTTTGAATTATAATATATTCAAATTTAGTAGAGTTTAAAAAGGCCACATGAAGGATATTTTCCAGCTGTAAAAGTCCCCCTGTGAGCAGAAAACACTTGCATATCGCCGTCACCATGTAGTTGGAGCAGAACTCAAACGGCATGTTAAAAATGTGAAAGCAGGAAGACGTCTTGAGGAATACAGCTGAGCGAGCGCACATCATTACTCACACAAATCAGTCGGAAGGAGGTATAAAACGAAGAAAAATAACAACAAGATGATATTGCATAAAAGCGGCTGTGTTTACAGTGCAATACTAGCATACTGCACACTGCCTGCTGTTTTAAACAGAGTATGCATTGTGCAGCACTAGACACAGCATCTGCTTATCCCAGGAGTTATGAATTTTTAATGCAAGCATGTGTAAACATGTCACTTTTAGGCATCTAAACAAATGATGATTCAAGTTCAAAATCACAACTGATATTATTTACGGTGCATTTATCTGGATATGGAAGATTGAGTGCCTTTGCATTGTGGGATAGAGTATTCAGTGCAGCGTGCTCTGGTTGAAAGTAATTGTTAAAAATGATAAAAAATTAAAAGTATCAAGTTTATTGATTTAACTATAATAATTTAATTTAAATATATATTTTTTATTTTACTTATTTATTTAATTTTAATTTAATTTATTTTAAATTGACTATTTTAATGGAGTATTTTATGTATTTTTATTCCTAGCGACATGTTAACGTCAAAACTGGCAAATCTAGTATGCAGTATGTTAGTATACTATTGTAAACACAGCCAGAGAGTAATGCTCATTACGTCCACTAGAGGTCAGTATAACACAGTTATTTAAAATAAACTCCAAGGGGTTTTCAGCTCAAACTACTTTTAGTGAAAGTTTGTCCAAATCTAAATCTGAATTACGATTCTCAGTTGAGTTTTATTTGTAGTTTTGGCTTGTAAAAGAAAAAGAGAAACCAAACCATATTTCCCTTACAGAAACCATATGCCATACAGTATCCGAATATGATAATCACAAAGTACCTTTTGTGAAGGTTTGGCCGGTCGATTCTCTCTCTTCACACATGCATAGATTCATAGCAGATATTCTGGAAGACGACGAGTCTTAAAAGGTTATATTTAAAGTCAGAAGATAGTCAAATCAGAAATAAGCATTATTTCTCACCATAGAAAGGTGAATTTTGAGATTTTATTTCTCAAACGCTCTCAGCTGCCAAACGTTAAAGCCCTTTTCATGATCAGAGCAGCTGCGTTTTCACAGTCTCTGTTCCAAAACCTAGTGAGCTGCCTTCTTAGACAGCACTTTTAAGGCATCATCATAGGAAGGCTGTCAGGAAAGTTTGAATACAGAATCACACTTAGGCTTTGTGTTAAAGGCAATCCCAGAATGCACTGCAACAAGCTTGGGGGAAAAATCTATATAAGAAGGTGATGAGTCAAGATAAATTATTATAAAGTTTCAAGTTTAAATACCAAAAAAGCAATTAAATTTATTATTTTTATATGCATTTATTAAATTTTTATTTCATTAATTTATTTTATTTTATTTAAATTTATTATTTTTAAGTGTATTTATTTTTTTATTTTATTTTATTTGCATGTATTATTTATTTTATTAATAAATAAATAATTTATTTATTTTTAAATGTATTTATTTAATGTATTTATTTTTTAGTTTATTTAAATTTATTTTATTGCAATGGACTATTTCATGCATATTTTTACGCTTATTGCAGCATTATCTTAGCAGACATGAGTGTCTCAAATCAGTTCAGACTAGACGCTCCCTTAGTAGACAGCTGCCTACGTAGGTTCTGGAACAGAGTTTAATATTTTGTTTTGCTTCTGTTGCTGCTCTGATAGCGTATGATTATGTGATTATGTTTTAAACATCCATAAAGTTTAGCTGAGATACAAACCAATAAAATGATAACAAATAAAAGGTCAGTGCTACGAGGAAAACAGCGTGAAATCATCACTGATTGGCGGTGGGTTCAGGCCGTCCGCGTCTGAACACTGACTCGTCACAGTCTGAGATGGAAGATTTGGCTTGATGTCCAGTGGTCCACCGGTCGCATCCGTCGTCATGGCGTTTGTCCTGTGGAGGCGGGGTTTCCGAGCGCCGTCGTCATGCCAACAGCCCTAGTCGCTTGACCTTGGCCGACAGGAAAGAGTGAATGATGAAGACGATGGTTTTAGGGCAGGAGTGAAGGTCCAATTGCTGAAATAATTAAAAAAAAGAGATCTCCTCAATATCTCAAATGTTTCTCTCAGATACCACTGAGATTAAAAAGAGAGAACATTTTGTTAATTTTAAAGCTAAAATAATAATAAAAAAACATTACATGAAAAAACTACACTAAACATAAATTAGAAAATAAATTAATGCAAATTATTAAAAAAGGAAATAACCTGATATAAGTTTGAAATTTACTAACAATTTAAAATTACTAACTGGAAATAAATAAATAAATAGTTAATTTTAAAAATCGAATAAAAATGACAAAAGCTCATAACAAAATGAATAAAAATTTAAGTAAAATTAAAACAAAAACTATAAAATATAAAACTAAAATTTGTAACAGTATAAATTACGCAACAAACATTTGAAATGTTTTTTGTTGTTTTTAATTTTAGGTTTTTATTTGTTAAATTAAAACGTTAATTTAAAAAAACTCAAACCTAAACTAAACGTAAATTAGGAAATAAATTAACATAAATTATATTTTTAAAGAATGGAAAAACTGACATGTTTGAGTTGGGTCCGATTCAATCCGTGTATAATCAGGGTAAATCCGTGTATCATTCGTTCAGTCATTTTTTTATTTAATATTGAAAGAAGAAAAATGAAAAAAACGGATCCTTTTTCGTCTTTTCATTTTTTCCCAAAAAACAAAAAAACAAGAATTCCACTTAATTTTTAGTTTTTATTTCAGGGGTAGAAAAATAAATAAACAGCTTGAATATTTGATTTCTGCACATGGGCGGGAATGAAACGCCCCTTTCTGCTGATTGGTCAGCCGAAGATCAAAGCATGCCGTCATCAGTTCTTACGCAGTTCCGTGCAGCAGAATAATAGTCCTCCGCTGCTGCAGGTGTACGGATTCTTAACGCGTTTATTGCAACTACATTTCATCTTTTTCTCATCAAACAACCAGACTAACGAATAGCTCGACACAACTCATACCGGGGCAGAGACTACAGGGCTTTCTTCTGCGTAGACATAAATTCTATGCTTTGCATCAGCTGGGCATGGCAGGGCTATGATATGACGGCTGTCATAGTATACCCTGCTCGCCCAGTAAGTTTTTTTTATTAATTAATTCATTAGTTTTAAATTAAATATTTTAAACACTGATACAAAAAGGAAAGCATAATGCATTGACTTGGGTATAGGCCTATATAGAATATAAAAAGCATACAAAAGCATAAAAATGTCTCTTACAATCTCGGCTTCTGGGCCTCCGAAGTCGAGGAACATCATGCGGATGCCGTCGTCTGAGGACATGCGCAGACGCTCGAAGGGCTGCTGGAGAAGGACATTCCTCCTGACGCCGGCCTCCTCCGTGAACAACGAGAAGCCTTTGTCTATGTGAACGCTCAACATGCATGACTTCCCGTTCCAGCTGCACGCTGCAGGAAACATCAGGATCATCGTCAACTAAAACTAGAACTAATACACTTTTCTTCACAGAAATAAAGCTGAAATGAAATATAAATATTAGATTTGAAAAACTTAAACTAAATGAAATTAGAACTGACATAAGTTTAAGTTGAATCATTAAAATGACTAACTGGCAATAAATAAAAACTTAAACTGAATTAAAAATAAATTAATCCTAAATAGTAATATTTTACAAAATGACAATTGCATACAATAAAATTACTAAAAATTACTACGAAACTTACTACTAAAATGAAAATGGAAACTAAAAGTATAAAAAAGCTCATTCAAAATTCATATCACTATAGATATTTTATTTTATTTCAATGAGTTTGCATAGTATGGAATCCTTTTTTTAAATTCCCTGATATTTCCAGGTTTTCCATGACCATAAGACATAATTTATATATATAATTTATAAGTAAAGTTAAGTAAACAAACTAAAATAACTAAAATAAATTAAACTTAAAAAGAAATATATAAGCAAACAAACAAATAAATAAATAAGAATTACAAAAGCACATAATTAAATTACTAAAAATGTAACTAAAATTAAAATGGAAACTAAAAATATGAAAATAAAAGCTACTTCAAAATTTTAATAAAAACTACAGTTGTACATAAGTAATACTAAAATAACACTGATTTCTATCAGAATATTACCCTACATGACAAACTCTGGTGTTTGTATTGGCTTGATTTAACTTTTGGCAGGCTAAAAAATCATGCATGCGTAAACGAATAAACAAACAAACAAATAAATAAAGCACTGTGCACGAGTAGTATGTTAGTGGGCTATTCAAAATATTAGCCTGTAAAAGGTCTAAAATATTCTTGAGCGCAACCAACAGAGAGCGATACGAGCACATACAGTCTCACATCTGCCCATCGGTTCATCCACTGACGTTTACTCATTTATTAGGCCTGGCGATAAAACGGTATCGATATTTATCGACGGTACACCTTCTTCAATAATGATAGAAAAAATGTTCGATATGGCGCACGATATAGGCAAGTGCTATGAGTGACGCAGACAGCACACACGAACACGAACATGCTGTAATGCCTGCCTGTGATGAGAAGATTGTGAATAAAGAATGAATATTAGTCGAATTTAAAATAAACATTTGCATTTGAATGTTAGGTGTGCGTCAGGGAACGTCATCAGTGGCGCGCGAGATGCGGTGATGATGTAAGTGATGCGCCCTCCTGTGGCCTCGGGAGACAAGACAAACATTTCCTTAAAACCTATTTAATCTGAATACAAAACATTAGAAATTTTATATTTGTTTAATTTTTATTTTGTGTTTGATTGTTAAAACAAAAAATATTTGTTGTTTGTCTCAATAAATTGGGTTAATTTAAAAATACAGTGGTTAAATTAAAAAAAACATTTTCTATTGCTCTTGGTTTTAAAAAAGGTTATAAAAATATCAATAATTATCGATACCGAACGATATGAAACATTATATCGTTGATACATTTTTTTGCTATATCACCCAGCCCTATCATTTATTCTCTTTATTCTCTCTCTATTGCTTTGGAGAGATCATGAACATCATGAGGATGTGCTGAAGTGTGAGCACCTGTGGTGACCTCCTGCATGAGCTCGGCGGCGCTGTGGCAGCCCTCCACCAGCAGGTGCGTCCAGGTGGACAGGTCTTTAGCCGTGTCCACTCTGAACAGATGCGTCTCCACACCCTGTTTAGTGCCCAAACGCAGGCCAAACGTCAGCTCAGAGTCGTGGACTGATGAACTCTTCCCCGGTCCAGAGTGAACCAGCCTGACGGAGACAAACACAGCAGGTACTAGTCTACACACAACTCAACTACTTACAGATCTGCTTTATAAAAGAACAGATGTGGCTGTGAAACTTGACACATTTTGTCTTTGGATGAGACACATTTGCCTACAGTTTGAATAACAGTACCACACACACACACACACACACACACACACACACACATATATTCTTGGAATATTTACAGTAGCATATAATACTTTTTCTTCCAAAAATAAATAAATCATACTATAATAAATACATATTGTAGTATGTGAATGTGTGTATGTGTGTGTATAAATAAAAAGAGTATAAATATAATTAGAAGTATGAATACAAATAAAAATGTGTATACCCACAAATAAATAAATACATTTTTAGAATTTTTAGGACTATTTAGAATATAATATTTTTCTTCTAAAAATGAATGAATGAATGTAAACAAACAAACAAATTAATAAATAGTTTTTGCTATCAATTTAATTGTTCATTAAATGTCTTTACAAGGTTTCTACACCTCTTGTTTAACAAATTTCATGACTTTTCCAGTCATTCATGATTACAGGATCTTTTATTATTTTACTCACAAAGATCAAATTAATACGACAATCGAACATACCAAGAAAACAATTATATCTTTATAGATTTTTTATTTCCATGACTTTTCATAGCCTAGAATCCCTTTTTTAAAATTCTCTGATATTTCTAGGTTTTCCATGACCATGGAATAATATAATATAATATAATATAATATAATATAATA